GAGTAAATGCTTGAATAGCGATATTTCTCGAGCGACCTTTATATTACCATTGAATTTAAAATGTTTCCCATATTAAAGTATCGTTACAAAAAGACACCAAATTCGTAAATTACATTAAAGACACTCGGTGGGGAAATAGTCACTACAAAAATAATTAAGGAAGATCTGTAATTCTCGAAAATAAATCACGGTTCTCAATTTAAGGCGGGTAAATACGTGGCCAAATTTGGTGAAGTCCCACGTATCTCAAAATTAATTTGGGCTTCTTAATTTAGGCCCAATATACTATAGTCGGCCCAGTTAAGTCTCTGGTTCGATGATCGGAATCCGACTGAGAAACAAATAAAGAGTCACACTTTAGAGACTGACATTGTCACTTGTTTCGATAGATTTTAGAGAGGTTGAAAGAAGACGAGGAGGAAAAAGACGATATTCTTCTTCTCTCTCTCTCACTGTGTGGTCTCTACTAGCTTCGCTTTTTCTTCGTTGCCCAAACCCCTAGGGTTCATCGTCGACGCTTCCTTGGTTTATCAGGGTAAGGATTCTAGAGTTGCTAAAGTTCCTTTATCAATCATCTGAAACGAACACTAAACATCCTTTAGATCTGGGTTTACAATAGATTATCGTTTATGCTTACTTATTGGTTTTATGTTGCTCTTGATGGGTGAAAAAGCTTGCTCTTTTTTTTTTTTTGGTAAAGAAAAGATTGCTTTTTGATGGGTGAAAAAAGCTTGCTCTGACTTTTGTGTGTTTATGTCTCTTGTAGCATGGAGAAGTCAGAGGAGATTCGTGTCGATACCATCCTTAGATTGGCGCTGGATTTTGTTGGAATCAAAAACATCAACCTGCTTGAACCAATAGATCAATTTGGTAAACTAAATTTGGTAAGTATTGATAGTTATGTAATATTTTCTGTTTCGATATTTTAGGAAACCGTTGATATTGTTTATATTGTCCCATGATTTGAGGGATCCTCGGTATCATTCTAGGCTATAAAGCCATGTAATTGTTTTGTGAATAGGGAAAAGATCATTCAGTTATCATGGTATCAGAGCAGGGGTTCTGATAGTTATGTAATATATTC